TTCAAGAATCATTGGTTTAAAAAATGGGCCATATCAGTCCCATGTATGACAAAAATGTAGGTCCACGCCTTTGTATAGGCCCCAATATAACGGTAACTCCCAATATTAGGTATTTTTCTTATTTTAGCAGTATTTCCCAACAATTTTTTAAGGTTGCAAATTCATGGTGGAAGTTAGTTCGGCCCGGTCTCACTTACTGTTTATTTACTGGTTTTTATCACCTTCCGCGAATTTTCGAACAAGGGACCTTAAAGTTTTAGGCACGTCCGACTTTTCGCTTAAAGGTCGGTACTTTTTACAAGTAATACAGAAAGTGATACTCCGGTCCACTATTTCCTAGGAACAAGTATCGGTCCACTCAAAACAACCAAGGAAACTCCGTCCATTGTTCGAAATACAGCTAATAATGCTACCAACGGTGTGAACGTAATGTGGTGGACTTGTGGTCTAGGGTTATTCCAGTTATGGATGAGTTTTCTATTGCTTTCATAAAATATTAAAGGTTGAGGGTTTAAAGATCTCAATTTGTGTCTTCCAGACATTTTTTTACATAGATATTCTTCATGCAGTTTGAGCGAAACACTTTTATCTCAAATTAATCATCAATGGCTACAAAAAGATATATAGAGCTGTTGCATCGAAAAACAATAACACGTCCGATTTACATCGAATCTGCCCTTGGGGTTTTTTATATATTCAACAAGGGCTTTAGAATGTCCGTAAATGTTTTTCTAGAAGCCCATCTCGACATAGACTCCAACAGTAGAAATTTGTCCCAAAAACGAATGCCAACAAATGTGTGTTCATAAAAAATATTTTTGGCCTCCTTGCAGAAGAAATTTCTTCTTCTTCGAAATACGGTTCAAGTCTTATGGCACACAAAACAGAACCGAATTAGAAGTGTAGGAAAAACAAAAATAGTTTAAAATAAATTTAAATTAAAGTTGTTAACAAAAATGTTTATAATAAACTTTCTTGAATTTTACGGATAAAAACTGTAGAAAAGTTATGAAAGGATGTTCGGTGCGTGTTTCTGTGTTTGTGTGTTTGTATGTGTATGACGCACGAGTGTGTTTGTGAACGAAAAACGTGAGCACGCACTCTACATTCTTAAAACACACACACACAAAAATATATGAAATATATATGTATATATGAAAAATATTTACAATATACCATATATTTGTATGCATTCACAAAAACACACACACACACAAACATATTGCATTGCATGTAATTTTACGATATTTATACACACACATTCCAACAGATAGACAGACAGACAGAAAAATACATGCTATATAAATCCGATAAAGATGCAGCCAACCAACCAAACCGATTCAGGCAGTCAGCAGCCGCACTGGTGTTGGTTGCATTGTGCAACTTGTAAGTTGTGGCAGCAACATCTGCAGCTGCAGCAGCAGCGCCAGTAGCAACAACAATTGAATGTGCCAAATAAAAAATATACAAATTTCAGCTCATAAAGTTCTTATCGCTGTTTGAACAAAAACTATTGAAATACCAAACAGCTGAACGCATAGCTGCCGCAGCAGCAGCATCAGCCTCAGAGATGTAAATCCAAAGGAAATTGGAACTGGGTGTTCGCCGAGTCAAGGAAATTTCCCTGGAGTTGTATTTTAAGCTGTTCCCCAGCATCAACGACGTGTTTTCTGTACAGATATCTGCAACACTGCAATAGCTTCTTTGCCTTCACGACGACGACAACAACAACAAAGACTACCACTGCAGCAGCAACAAAGCCTTTCAAAATATTACAACACTAGAAAATTTAAATAAAACCAAGTTTGCAACAACATCAGTCGTTTTGCTTGACGTTAAATAAGAAAATATGAATATTTTAATATGATGTTGTACAATTGCACACACACACACACTTACATATACTTGCTAACGTAAATTCACACACTCACATACCATGTGTCGTCTGTCTGTTCATTTTTATTGCAAGAAGTTTTTAACTTCATTAAATTTTTAAATAACGAGTCTTTTAGCTAATTACATAACGACAAGACAATTTCACATTCACCGACTTCCGACAAGAACATCGACAACGGCACAGATACACACAATTCTCGCAATTCTTTCAACATTTTACAAAAGAAAAATAACAACTATTCTTATAATGTAAACGAAGGCGAAAAAGAGTTGAGATTTGTATTTGACGAATGTTGTTGGAACGTCGATATCGAAGCGATATGTGACGGAAATTGACAGGCATGTCCATCAATTCTTCCACTTAAGAACCATTTTCGTGAGAAGGAAGAAAAATTTTCATTTGAGTTTAAGATCTAAAGTATCCGATTAATTTTTATTAATAAAAATTGCAATTTCTATGGCCTAATCGAATGTGCCTAATCGACACAAAGGTTTTAGACCTTAGGTCTCCTTGGACCAAAGGGAGAATCCGATCAAAATCAATGTTACATGTTATAATATTTCAAAATGTAGACCCCTTCAGACAAGGCCAAGTTTGAAAAAAGTCGCGTTTATGAGCTATTGAAGGTAGGTACCTAAAGAAGTGACACGTTATATCCCATCTTCATACCAGACCTGTTCGGAGTGTTCGGAGAAATATTAAGATGTGCGAAATTCAAAGACAATCCGGCTTTTATTTCTCATTTTTAATAGCTATGATTATAATAAAACCAAATTAATTGTCTCCATTGGTGATCGGCCCATTTCATAACATTGAACACCGCACTTTTTTAACCATGTTAAAGCTGGCTGCTCATAATTCAGTCCACTAACCGAACTGCTACACCCTTCTGATGTTTGTGGTAGCGGATAAGATTGTCGAATACCCGAAATAAGACCAATTTCCAACAGAGGCAGGGGGTCTAACGAATGAGCGTGATGAGCTCCGGCGTACCAACCTTACTGATTTTAGTTGATACAGGAGCACAACATAAAAAGTGGCTAGACCACTGAAGTGTTGCAACATTGGAACATAAAAGTAAGTCGAGTCGCTTTCGAACCCTGGGAAAAAGGATGATAGGACCTCAGTCACTTTTAACGACACAACGGCGATTATTCCAAAGAGGTGCGCTGAATAGTTTAACCAACAAGGAGACACCGCCACTGTTTACGATGATTGATATTGCAAATGTCATCCGAAACGTTAAGTCACCCAAAGCGTTAGGCCCAGACGGAATATCCATGTTAAAGTTGAAACAGCTGGGTACACCGGGTGTTGAGTATCTCACTAAAGTCTTCAACCTGTCGTTAGCATCCCACATAGTTCCCGTAGCCTTGTAAATGGGCAGGATTGGCCCGCTACTGAAACCATGCAAGAATGTCAGCAAAGGCGTATCATACAGGTCAATTCCGCTTTTGTCGCCAGTAGCAAAACTCTTGAGGCATTACACCTGCCCAGCGTCATAGAAAGCTATCCATTTGCCAGCCATCAACGCGAATTCCGTTCACAACACAGCACTACTCCAGCATTGCACGCAATATCCACACATGTCAGTCGAGAATTAAACAAGAACACGCCATATCGTAGAACAGTGTCAGCCCTTGACATATCAAAGGATGTATGAGGATGTAAACGGGACTACCATCCGACCAAGTTTGAAACGTTGGATAATCAACTATATGTGTGGATGCCAGTCGTACGTGGAATTCCGGAACATGAAGTCCAATCCCCGTACAATGAAACCCCAAGGTGGGTGATATCTCCGGAACTGTTTAACCTCTATCTTTACGAAATCCCTTCCCCTCCAGGCGACATAGAGATTGTTACATATGTTGATGATTGTACGATTATGGCGTCGCGTCCGGTGTTGATAACAAGTGCGTAAGGTTGAACACCTATCTCGCGGAAGTTGCCACTTGCTTCCACGCGAAAATCAATGGCCACACTCTTAACCACATGGGCTGTGGAGATACGAACAGAACTAAATGTGCAGGTCGAGGTGAATATGATACCGACCACGAGCTATCTCAAGATCCTGGGGGTCACATTCGACAATATGTTCTGCTGCCCTGAGAACTGCGTCAGCTTGCCTCCTCCTGAGACCAGTGGACCATCTACCTAAGGGGGCGAAGTCCCGTCAATATAACCATATACATTTGTTGCATTACCTGCTTGGGTGTTATCATGGAAATCATTGAAACCATCATATGGTGAATAAAACTCCCCCACCGAGGTGTTTCAAGAAGGTTATACATGATCTAGAGAGGGAGGTCCAACGCTACAAGAGAGCCTCTAAATGTGATACACCTTACACCTTTTTAATTATCCTGCCAAACCTACCTCACTTACTCCAGAAAACATCTGCCCACTCACTTCACAAAGTAGCCGAATTTTTTAACCTGGAGCCTTAACCAGATTAACAGAGATTAGAACTAAACAACTATAACAACTCATTTTAAGGTCTATAATAATATGTTATAAGTGGTCTCAGAATCACCGCATGGGATTACTAGCCATTAAAACAGCCTTAAAACCACTATACTAACGACGAAACGCGTCGCAAAGTGATTAGATCCGCGAGACTTCTCAGTGCATCTCCATAGGTCATTGTAGCTCAACTGGAGAGAAAGAAATGATCAAATATCCATCTACAAATAACTTTCGCCTAATAAGGCAGAAGCTTTCAAATCAATCTATTTGGTTGTTTGGAATGTTACAGTTACGTGGTGGATGTAGAAGCCTAGATTTTATGTTAAATGCGTAATAAATGCTATAAAGAGGCTTACAGACCGCATTGCCTGAAACTCTAATTTCATACCCAAAAAAAAAAAAAAAAATAATAATAATAAAATAAAAATAATGTACCGCCTTCAATAATATCTTATAAAATAAGCACAGCTTCACAGCAACCTATTGTTGACCCCTAGAAATTTGTTTTCATGGATGGTAGCATAGCAAGGGCATTCTATACGTTCCATCATCCTAATTATAATATTTCTATGGAGTAACCATACACATTAAACATTTACAATTGTTCTCCTCATTTGTTTGTGGTTGCACTCACCTGGATATCTTGCATTGTTGATGGCGAAACAACCTGGACGAATATTTGCTCATCCAATGGCAGTTGTTTCAAAATTTTTATTTTATACTGAATAGAGCCATGAGCTTTTGTGTGAACGGACACTTTCAAAAATGCGGGATCCGAAGTTTTAACCTGAAACAAAGGGAGAAGAAGAAAAGGAAGATGAGTAAAACAAACAAAAAAGCAGAAAAAATAACAAATTCAAATAATAAATGAAAAATTATGAACAAATAGTTTTTGTTCATTACTTATTTATTTATGGGCCTCTCTCTATCTCTGTGTTTCTGCTCGTATTTCTTTGTCCGGACAAATGAAGTATCTGCACTCTTTTATTCTTTTTAATAATTCTTTGGAAATTCTTCTTTTTATTTGATTTGACCAAAACATATGAGTGTTTTGTGTGGATTACAACAACAAGCTACAACAGCAACAACACTGTATATAATGCAAATTTAAATATTTACTTTTGTCTAATGTTTACAATGGAGCATTTTTGTGTTGTTTTGTGCAAAGACAATAAATGCTCGCCTTGCACTTTTTTGTCATTCGTACAACACAAAAAATATATGCTGTATGCTAAACAAATACATAAACATACATACATACTTACATAGCTATTTATATGTTTGTAATGTAAATGAAATAGATTGCATGTGCCAACTGTACACAGAACGAAAAGTTTGAAGGAAATATTTCATTTGCTTCAGGAATTTTGCTTCAAATTTTGACGAAGTTAAAACTCTAGTAAGACAAATTCAGTCAATGTCCGGGCAGATGTATGCCCCCTTTTTGGAAGACGTACCACAAAGAGAAGTACATCCCATATTTACACTAGGTATAATTTTGAAGATAGCTGGAGATTACTTTCGTATTATTTGAAAGACGTGATTTTTAGTTTAGTTTCCAGATCTATATCTGACATAAATACTTCCACGGACCAGGTTTAAATCGAGTTCTTGATTCGATGTATATGAGGTATGGTTTTTTATTTTATTTATATTTTTTTGTACTTTCTATTTTTCTGGGCCATTCTATTTCACACTTGTATATTTGGAAGTTCAAAGTTTAGAGAAAATTCGACTCTGATTTTCCATTATTTTATGATTTATTAACATTAACATTTTGACCTTAGTAAGGGAAGTACACGAATGTGTGAAACATTATTGTCCACTTTGTCTACTGACCTAAACGTTATATAAATATTATGATGTGCCAATTTCGACCCATAACGGGTTCTCCCTTCGCTCAATATGATATTTATTTCCAAATTAAGCATTTATGAGTAATTATTATTTAAATTTCTGATTATTGGGAGCTCATATTCGTACCTGAAATTAGTCTTTTCCCAATATTACAAAGTACTGAAATGTAAACTATATAGGAAACATTTTTCATTCAATAAAAATCTCATTCTATTTTTCTGAGTTCTGGATTTATGAGTATAGATGTTGACAATGAGATGTTGTCAAAAGTATAAATTTGGAAAAAAAATGTAAACATATGATTACATGACTTTACCTTCTTAGTTCTACCATGGCTATATCTTTATATAGAGGTCATACGAAGACGTGGGCCCGCATAAGTATTCTTTTTGTGTTAGACAAATTATATTGTAATCGATTCAGATTTGGATATAGCTCCCATATATATTTTCGACCGATTTCGTTCATTTGATGCCTCAAACACAATATGAATGTTCGATTCCAATGAAATTTAGAATGTGTGACGGGATTTAATCCGAAAATATATTTGTCAAATTATATTGAAATCGGTTCAGGCTTGGATATAGCTCCCATATATATTTTCGACCGATTTCAAGCATTTGATGCACCAAACACGCTATGTATCCCCAATTTCAATGAAATTTGGAATGTGTAGCGGAAATAAAAACAAATATACATTTGTCAAAATATATTAAAATCGGTTCAGATTTGGATATAGCTCTCATATATATTTTCGACCGATTTCATGTATTTTATGTACCATACACGATATGTATGTTCGATTCAAAAGAAATTTGGAATATGTAACGGGATTTTGATTAGAAAATAAATTAGTCAAATTATATTAAAATCGGTTCAGATTTGGATATAGCTCCCATATATATTTTCCGCCGATTTCACATATTTGATGCACAAAACACGATACGTGTTTCCGATTCCAATGAAATTCGGCATAAGTGGCTAAATTTGGTACAAAAATAAATTTGACAAATTCTATTCAAATACGCTCAGATTTGATTATAGCTCCCATATATATACTCAGCCGATTTCACATATTTGATGCAACCAAAGCGAGAGAGACAAAATCTGGCACCAGAAAAAATTGCCAAATTATATTGAAATCAGTTGAGGTTTGGATATAGCTAACATATATATTTCGGCCGATTTCATACATATTATGCACCAAACACGATATATATAACCGATTCCAATGAAATTCAGAATGTGTGGCGGAATTTGGTTATAATAATAAATGTGATAAATTAGTTGGAAATTAGTTAAGATTTGGATATAGCTCCCATATATATATTCTCGGCCGATTTCACTTATTTTACGCACCAATTTCAATGAAATATGAAAGGTGTGGCGGAGTTTGGTGTAAAAGTAATTTTTTTAAAATTATATTTAAATCGGATCACATTGGGATATGATTTTAATAAGAACCATTGACCCACAACGCCTTAGGCTAACACTAAAAAACAACACAACAATTTATTTGAAATACGCTTATTACGGCGAAGTATGTTGCTATCTCGAATTCACTAATTGCAATAGAAATGCCACTCTACTTAAAAAAAATTGCAGTTTAATGCACGCTTGGTATTTGCTATGAAATAAATAAATCCAAAGGACAAATCTTTCGTGTAAGCATGTCATGTTACTGCTTTTGTAATGATTTTGTTTATTAACGCATTAAAGTAGTGCAATAGTTTTTTTTTTTTTTTAATTTTTTTTTTTGACCAACATATATTCGTAAATAAAATTTTGAATGCATATAAAATCAAAAGGGGTAGCGAAGCGCACCGGGTTCAGCTAGTGTCTCATATAAAGTCAAGGAGTAATCAATATAATCCAAGCCTGGCACGTTGCAATATTTTATCATATTTATTTAGCTCCGATACGAAACGGACAATATCGACCCACTTCTTCGGAACCTACTACATAGAGGAGCAACAGTTAGAATAATCAAAACAGAACTCAAAATATTTTTAAATGGTAGAACATTGGCTGAGGGTATAAATCTGTCGGCAAAATCGACCGATACTTTTTTACTTGTTCTTGGTATTTCATTTTTGGTTCTCTTGTTTCAATGACGAAATAAATGACAGTAACCGTCCCTTATTTCTTTAGCTAAGGTCAAAAAATGAAAAAAAAATTGCAACATGTTTTGCTCATCCAAATTATTTATTTTAATATTTTGTTGCCAAAAAAGTCTAATCTTGGATTAAAACCAAAACCAAAAAAAAAAAAAAAAAAAAACAAATTGATATAAAATCCATTCGTTCGTTATTTATAATTTTCAATAGAAATTGATTGACAATGTGTGTTCTGCAAAACAAAATTACATTTGCTACAAAAACATAAACAGAGGGTGACAGCGCCACTTATTCCGTGTCAGGCATGCCCTTAAGCGTACAACTAATTTGGTAATCGGCTTGTTGTGTTTGAGCTCGAAAATAAAATATTCATGGCATTTCATATTTGTGTAAATTCATAAAAATTCAATACATAGTTTATTGCCGTTCGTTTCTTGTCATGCAATTGCAACTGTTTGACCGACCCCTCTTTCAATTTTGTCCAGCCCCAACTGACCGCCCACACTTTGCTGCTGTTGTCATCAGGAATTTTACGTTTGTGGTTAGAGTAAATAAAAATTAAATTATTTTAATTGAAATATGTTTAGAATTCCATAATTTTTTTTCCATGTTGTTGTCGTTGTTGTTTCATTTTTTTTTTTTTGCTGTGTACAACAACATGTCCGTCTGTTGGTTCGTCCGTCCATCCGTCCGTTTATGCAAATATGAATTCACCTTCAGGCAACTGTGTAAATATGCGGAACTGAATTAGACCTGATGGAGTTGAACTTCGAAAATATCTGCAAATGAATGTATGTAAATATTTACATGCATTTATTTGTTTTTGTTGTTATACAAGTTTTTTTGTGACAAATGTGTGTGTGTTTAAACACGTATACGACAATCACATATATAATTGTTTGCGGAATAGCAAAACGTAGTAAGCAACAGAATAGATGCTGGGCAGAAGAAGCCCTTCAGAAATGTTAAGAAAATTTGATTATTTTTCAAATATTTAGAGATGAAAATGATGGAATGAGAATTCCATTTGACTTGGACCTGATCAATACGAGAAAATAGGTGTATAGCCAATAACACATAATTTTCTATAACGTTAGTTGATTTCAATATTTATAGCGTAGAAAAGGATTGCTAAAGACATTTGCAAAATATAAACGTCAAGAGTGACATAGAAGTCGAATTCAAAATTAGCAAAACATTTAAAAACAAGTAAGCAAAGGCTATAGTCGTGCGGAGCCGACCATGTGATACCCTACAACACTACAAAATGTTGAAAGCACTCTTATGTCCAAATCCATTTAGGAAGATTTCGTTTTTGAAATGAAGTCATAGATATGTTGTAGAAAAACAAAAGAAAATGTACAAGTCAAAATTGAAAAACAAATTTAAAAAAATCGCACGCTATAATATATGTGTGAAAAATCGAAAAAAATAACGCTTTTTATTGTCATATTTTTACGCGATTCTTAAATTTAATCCTTTGTGGCAAGAAACCATTCCGAATTGATGAAAATTGTAAAAAACCGGTCCAGCGGTTCTTGACTTATAAGCAGAATAACTAAGATCTATTTTTTAAATATATATTGTCCTATTTTTCTATATCCGATATCTTGGCTCTCAGCTTCACTGTAATGGTCAAAAGCGACCACTAAATGTATTTGTAATTTGGTTAAAAAAAATATTCGCGGCTTAGTAGAAATTTCCATATTATTGACATAAAAGTTATGGTTTGTTTTACCCGTTATGTATGCGTTTTTAATTGTGGCCTGCAGAGCAACAGCAAATTCAGGATTTTTTTTGGTCTATTCAGCCT